GCTAAGGGAGAGGTGAGGAGTAGATGGTTTATTTCAGCTTCCTGAGTAACCCAAATGCAGGGAAATACTACCATAGTTAAAATACTGCTATGGTTAAACCCACACTTTCCCTTTTAATGATTTATCCTCCTTTAGGGATGGCCAAGATATTGGGGTAGGCGGGGATGAGATTTTATCATAAACATCTGCATTTCTATTAATAACACAGAATATGTCATTGATCCATAAAACCTTTAAAATACTTTTACTGTTTTTAAAAAATCATACATGTCCGTAGAATGTCCAACACCAAGAATGAACCCTAATGAAAACTATGAACTTTGGGGGGTAATCATGTGTCAAAGTAGGTTATCGATTGTAGCAAATGTACCACTCTGGTGCAGGATGTTGATGGTGGGGAGGCGGCGTGTATATGGAGCAGGACAGGGGGTATATGGAAACTCTTAGCTCAATTTTGCTGTGAACCTAAAACTGCTCTAAAAAATAAAGTCTATTAGAAAGAATCATACATGTTCGTAGGCTCATTGGAAAAACTTGTCAAAACTGTAGAAAAGTACAAAGAGGAAGGTAAAAATCACCCAGCATCCTTCTGTCCCTAATATGAGATGGGTAGGTTAATGATTTGGTGACCATCCCTCAAGGCATTTCTCTGACCATACCTATATGTGTACGAATTCCCATAAATGGAGATGAATATGTGTGTGTGTGTGTATTTACGTTTCATTCAATATGTTATCATGTAAATTAATATTGATATACGTAATTTCTAATAGCTGCATGGTATTGCAAACATGAATGTGCCATAATTTACCAAACCAGCCTCTTCTTTGATAGGCATTTAGGATTTCTTTTTGCTCATACAAATAATGCTGCTGTGAACATTTCTGAAGGTATGTATTATGATCTTCTTTGAATCTATATATCTTTCCAGTTCACACTACATCTTGGGGGTGCTTATGAGTTACACATACTTAATACACACTGTGTGTGGTAGTTCTTCTTTATACAAAGTAAACTGCGAGGCAGAGAACCTGAAATAATTCTAAGTGGCACTTTTATTAGAGTAAAAGGGGAAGAAGTTCTGACTATGAGATCATGTGTGTAATGCCTATAGCTCAGGGCCTTGCATGTAGTTTGTGCTCAGTAAATAATATCCGCTAATAGCATCATTGTTGTCATTGTTTCTTTTGTTGTGGCCCATGTTTCCTTGCCCTGAGCATGGGTTAGTGTGGCCTGAATCACAGAACATGCGAAAAGAACCACATTTCTAGTCCTTAAAATATCTGACTCTGGCTGTAATCGGTGTGAGTTTTAGAAACAAATGGTCAACCTGAGAATGTAGTTCATTCAGTGAACTGGCTGTGAAACAGAGATGTGTAGACCATATATGCAGTGTGCCCATAATAATGGTCAGACATGTTTTCTCATTTGTGATAAAAGAAGGGAGCACAATTTTTCTAGCTTTTTATACATTATTTATCTCTGCTCTGACTTCCTTATTCCAAGGAAATAATAAGCATATTGGACTTTTGTAAGTATTATTCCCTGTCAGATTCTGAGCGTTATCACTGTGTTTTGGAGCTCAAGATCAGCTCCGGATCAGTCTTAGAGCCTTCCACAAATCCTTCTAGCATTGTCTGCTTTATCCTCTTTAATCATAACACAATTGTAAAAAGCCAAAAAAAAAAAAAAAAAGAAAAACCCCAAAACACCTAATACCAAACTACTTCTGCCCCAATCTACCAGACTTTTTGTGAGCTCGTGGGTGGCTCCTGTTTATGCTATGAGTTTGAACATCAACTTCAGGAAAAAAATTCTTGCTATTGTTCTAGGCTCAGATTTATGGCTCTGTTCTTTGCCCTGAGGTGAGATGGAATCAAAATCAATGAGTTTAGTTTTGGATTGCCAGACGCAAGTAAGATGAGCCAATTTTCAGTGACCTAAGATGAGTAAAACAGGAGAAAAAAGTGAGACGAAGAGAGAGAAATCAAGAGGGCACTCGATCTCTTGTTTGTGTCTATGATAGAATTCATTTAAAAACTATAGGTAATCAAGTTTTATTCGCCCTAGAGAAAACAGAGTAGGTAGCATTAAATTTGATACTAGAAATATTAGAAATAGTAGCAAAAAAGCTTTGCCCTGGTGACTCCCTGACCCCCAATCAATAACCAGTCTCACCAGTCACAGCACCTCCCACACAAGTCTCTATCACCTCCTTCGTGGACATAGTGAGACTTTCTGAATCTAAATCTTGTATCATCTCAAACAGCTTTAGTTACAAATAATAATTATGACTATCATTCATTAAGCATCTATTGAGTGCCTGGCACCATACTAGATCTTTTAACATATGAGTCAATCAATATTTATCGAGAACCTACTATGAGCTAGGCATTATTCTAGGTGCTAAAGATACAACAGTTACAACAGTGAACAAGATACCCAGAGTCCTTGCTTTCTTAGAGCTTCCATTCTAGTAAGAGGAGACAACCAATAAGTCAATAAAACAGAGAGTCTGTGCTATGTAGAGAATTAAAATACAGTAATGTGACAGAGAGCGATTGCACAGTACTCCCATCAGAGGGGGTATGTTTAAGCCGAAACCTTAATAAAAGGAAGCTCCACCTGACTAGGGGTGAGGGGGTAGAATTTCATCCTCACGATAACTCTATTCACTCTATTTCAAAGAGAAGGAAAATGAAGCTCAGAGAGGCTAGGTAACTTCTCTATGGTAGGGTTGGGATTCAAATACTGCTCCGATATCCACTAACCCACCCACGTTGGGAATAATGATAGTTGGTCTGTTCACAAACGTCTCTCTCTCGAGATCACAATGAGCATAACTGCCACAAGGCGGGAGGGAAATAGAGAAGACAGGTGACTTGGGAAATGGAATCTCAGAGTTTATTATTGCAGGTGTGACTAGCCTGAGTGAAATTTATTTGAAAAGGGAAAGTGAGCTGACTTTCTGGTGAGCATCCAAAGGGCTTGTCCAGTTAGAGAACAGGGGATGGCCAGAGTCCATGCAGGCAGAGCCGGGCCAACACCCAAGTGGCCAGCGTTTGAACCTCCCTCTCTGTGGGTTTGGCACCTTCCATTTGCGTCACAGGAGGTAACTACTTTGGGTCCCTGAACCTCACATTTAATATCAATCTCTTTAAGAGGAAGAATCTCCAAGAAGACTGGCTGTCTTGTGGAAGTTTCATAATCTGTTTTTTTTTTTTGTTTTTTTTTTAGCTCATTAGCTTACTGTCTCAAAGAGCAAAATACGAAAACAAAAATTCTCATTAGGCTCGAAGTCTTACATATTCTGGACTCATTGGTCATCTCTTCTTTCAGGGACATCTTTCTATTTTCTGCGAGCTCGTGACCAGGGATTTAGGATAAACTTAGACAACCTCCTTAGAGAAGGGACTTATTTTATTAATCTTTGTGTCATTCATGTGGTTGTATCAACGCATTCAAGTTTGAGAATCTCTGGTTTAGGACGGCAGTTTTCAACTTTGCAAACATGTTAGAGTTACCCAATGAGATTTTAAAAATCTTTAGGCCCAGGCCGTATCCCAGTCCAACCAAATTAGATGGTGTGTGTATGTGTGTGTGTGTGTGTGTGTGTGTGTGGGTGTGTATGTGTGTGTGTAACTCAAACATCCATAATTTTTAAAGCTCCTCAGGTGATTCTAATGGGTAGTCAAGATGGAGATGCACTGGTCTGGACCCTCTCCTGCCTAACTTGACATTGGGCAAAATTCAATATAGGGAAGTCAGGCCTGAACTGCATCTATAGAAATACATTATTTCATGTTCCCAAGAGCCACTCTGAGGCATTTGTCATTCTCTGTCCTTTGATCAGAAAGGTATCTTTACCAAAAAGGTAGAATTTATGCCTGTAGTTGTCTTTACAGCTACGTGAGCATAAGAATTACTTGGTGATCTTGCTAACAGGCAGACTCCTGGGTCCTAATCAATCAATTCATTGATTCAGCAGAGCCTGGGGGAGGCCTGGGAAACTAGATTCTTAACTTGCACCTGGGCAATTCTGATGCAATTTGCCTTTGTTCAGCTTTGAGAAATAATGCCTTAGACCAGCGCTTCTCAACTAGGGGTGATTTTTTTCACCTTCAGGGGACATTTGGCAATATCTGGAGACATTTTTGATTGTCATAACTGGTGTGTGTGTGTGTTACAGGGATCTAGTGAGCACAGGCCAAGGATGCTGCTCAATGTTTTACAACACAGAGGTCAGCCCTCACAACAAATATCTGGCTCAAAACATCAATAGTGCAGAGGTTGAGACACCCTGCCTTAGATTAATATCTCTTCTGAATCAACTTTCTTCTCTGCTAGCCTCAAATAAAAGATGTCACCTTCTTTAGCACTCCCATAGCTCTTTCTTGTGTTAAAAACCATCTTTATGTGTATGGCTCATCTCCCTGAGAGAAGAAACTTTTCTTTAGGGCAGGATCCTTGCTTCTTTCATTTGTGAGTCTGGCCTCATCCCTCTTCCAGCATATAGTCCTCACTCCATGAATGTTTACACCATGTCAAACAAAATGTGTTTCAACTCTTTGGGACCAACCATAAAAGTGGCTTTGTGACTGCTAACCATACCTAATATCTACAGGGAGAAAGAAACCCCAGGGGCCTAATTTTCAGTCTAAAAGTTTAATACTAACCCTCCAGGATTCATAAAAAAATGGCTCTCCATTCACCAAATATTATAGTTGTTTCTGGACCTGCCTGGGTTGTCTGCAGGCGAGTTAGCTGTATGAACAGGAGGACCACACAAGGAGCTCCACCATCATACAAGGAACCTCATTGGCTGTGTCCTCTGTAGCATCTGGCTACCAGTTGGCACCTTTGAGCAAACGAACCCAGTTCCTAAGCCAAGACTGAATTCCAGGAAATCAAAATCCAGTAAATAACTTGACCCAGATCTGCGAGGGAACTGGGCAAGGAAAGAGTGCCCTCAATGGTTCTAAAAATAGCCAGGTAATTACCTTTGAAGATCTTCTAAGAAGATGCACTTAACTGCAGAGCGAAGCAGCAAAGGGCTCCTTTGTTTGTTGATCGGAGCTGTCTCCACGTAGTCAGCAGACTTCAGAGTGTTGGAAACCCAATCAATATTTGGGTATGACGGAGTTACTATGCTACTGGGTTGACCATAGCTAAAAACAAGAAACTACCCTTAGTGAGCCTGACCTGACTACATTTTTACTAAATTGATCATGCTAAGTTTTCCTGACTTTGATTTCTGTTCCAAATTTAACACTTGGCATGAATATTGTGGTGAAATACATTCGCTACTTTTTCACTTTATGTATTGGAGCAATCTATCAGCACCATCAATTCTTTAAATGCTACTTTAAAGGTATTCCACTGCCAGCAAGATCTGTGGAATATAGAAATGAAATATATCACAGATTGGTTGTGAAGTTCAACCAATTTAGTAATTTTCCTCCTGTGGCTAATCATTCATGGAATACTTTGTTTGCTCTTTTTCTTCTTCGTGTTTTAATTTTCGGTCTTGGCAGTATCTGCTAAAAGGACTTGGAGTTATGAAAAGTATGAAAATGTGTTTGTTTCAAATAGTTGGCTGGGATCTTCAGCAGCCAGAGGCGCAGCACAGGTGTGAATATTTGTTTATAATCCAAACACAGCAAAGTAAACAGTCCCGTTTTGCACCCCCTTTTTTCCATACAATGCTTTGAATATTTTTTTTGTGATGGTCAGTGACTTTGTTTAACTTTAAAAGAACCTGAATGGAGAGGAAAGGCTTGGAGACTCCCAACTGTTTGTACAAGGGCCTGAAGTGACTGACGGCTAAACTAAGCTGGTTGTAGAGCCCTGACATTTTGTCAGCTCCCCCGAGGAGTCAGATGTGATGTCCACGACTCACCTGTCAAGTGCTGATAGAAAAACAACTCTGTCATACGTAGCCTTTAAGGCTACATAAGTGACCCTTAACCCTGGAACCCCTTCCGGAGTTTTCCACTGGGTATCAAAATCCTTTCAAATATTTCCAGCTGGACATCTCCTCGAGCTGTAACAGCAGCTCAGCATTTTAGCAGTGGTGGGCATTGCTGAGGGAATTCTCCCTCCCCCCTCTTATTTTTCCCCCTCGGCAAGGACCAGTTCTGGAATCTCATTGGTAGCAAGAGAGAGGGGCTGCCCTCATTGTCCAAAACTCAGCTTTCGCCTCCCAGGTGAATCCAACAGTCCTCTGAAAAACAGAGTATTTTTGAGGTCACTCAGATTCCTGTCCTCATCTCAAAGTTCTGAAATGCTTGAAGGATCTTTCAAGACAATAAACTTTTCCGTGCTATAAAGTTCGGTGTCTTCTACGGGCTTATTTCAGTTTTCCCATTTGCACAAGATGCATCAACAAAGATCAAGAAATCCAGACGTCCCTGACACCAAGGTCTGGTGTTAAAAAAACTTAGTCCTGAATTCAAGACAATTTGCAAGTCTTTTGATCTTTTTCTACTAAAGTGATAAACACCACCAAAGGTTATTTTAAAAAAAAAAGGGTAAAAGGGAAAAGACCAACATAGGATACATCTAGGAGAAAAGAATTCATGCCTAAAGCAATAAATATCCTACAAATGGGAAGGTGCCTCTTCAGTCAGTATAGCAAGAAAATAAGTCAGGTGATGGAGTCTATTCGGAGTAATAATAAATGAGTTTCATGGAGGAAAACAAAATCACCTTAAAACTATGTCTGTTGAACTCCAACAGGGTTCTAGAAGTCCTTGGGTCGGTTACAGCATTTCTCAAGATAAACTAAAATGGCCTTGGACAGAGTGTCCACAAACAAAAAGATCTACAACAGTCTAGTTTAAGCCAGAATATTTCCACTGCTCCGTCCAGAGATGGTTCCTTTTTTCTCTGGTTTCCCAGATTGTCAGACTAAAGGACCCAAGCATTTGCTAAGCACATGGAAGCTCATGCTCATAGTTCCTCTACAGAAATTTCCATTGAAATGAGCTAAAAATAACCAAATGAAAGGAAAATCATGGACTGTATCTTTAGACAGTGTTAACATCATTTCCCTCATTTTACGGATGAAGAAATTGAGATCCAGAGAAATGAAGCGGCTTTGCCTCCAGATTATAGAGCTAGAAAATGGCAAACTCTCAAAAAGGGCTTGAATTTCCTTCATTTCTTTGAATTCTTATGCTTCAAAGTCACTGCTTATTTCTAATGCTAAATTTATGCGTTATTATATCCTATGGATACAAGCTATTTCATAACCTGTGATATTTTAGACATAAGCGAGAGACTCATAATAGTTACCTTTCTGGGAAAAATAAACTCTGAAAGACTGTTACTTTCATGATTTTTTTCTTTGAGCCATTCATGATACTATCTCCTGAGGATAAGAATACTAATTCAGCTAGTCCAGGTGCTTGAACTAGCTGATGCCTGTTCAAGTCACTGTTCAATCTGATACCTGGAGCATCAAATTTGTCTGACTGTTCTAGGACAACTCTGCGTGTAATAAGCTTTGTAGTCTGTCCAGCTTCTTTGGCAAGTCAGATTCGCCCTTTCATCTGCCCTGGTGGAGCCTCATCTTACTTTTTAGGCATTTTTCTCACATTTCCTTTTAAGAGGCTTGGGTACCATCAGCCTGACATGGCTTAGCTTCCTCAGCCACTGAAGCCCTAGACAAATCAGCCTAGTTCTCGTCATGTGGCCCAGGCACCTGCTTGGGCTGGGAAGTCAACCAGCTCTCTCACATCAGAGCAGTGGTCCCATAGCTTGTTATTCATGACTGAGTCTCACAATCTGGGAAATTGAAGTTAGGAGGGAAGGATCAATCTCTAGAAGGAAAATTTTTATTTTCTGGGTCAAACAAAATTTTCTAGATTTCTTGGTTTGTGAATGTTCTTTCTGAGACCATTTAGTTTATCTTGAGAAACACTGTTCAAGTTTTGACTGCAAAGGTTGGTGTGCCATTTAGCTGCTCCGTACACCAGAAGCATCAGCATCACTGGGGAGCTTGTTAGGAATGGAGTATCTTAGACCACAGACCCACTGAATTAGAATGTGAACTTGAACAAGATCCTAGGTGATTTATGCTCACATTAAAGTTTGTGAAGAGCCCTGGGGCTGGGGAGATCCACATGGGTCCCTCTTCAATTTTGCCTCCCTTGTTCTTGGGATCCATGGTCACTGGCTAAGAGGTAAGCCCTTTCCAACCATCTCTTTTTCTGCTCCACTTCCACGTAGCTCATCCTTTCTTTTCTCTTTCAGTTTCCTGGTCCTGCCTGTCCACTACCGACTCCCTTCTACTTAACTCCTTAGAATCCTATTTGTTTGACATAGAATATCACTACATATTGCAGTCTTTTTTCCAGAAACCTCTCATGCCTTGATAGAAGTCTCTTTTTTCAACTAGAGGCCACTCACTCTTCCTTACTTTCTAAAACTCAGGACAAAAAGCAAGAGTCAGCGTTCCCATCCCTTATCATGGATGCTTCCAATCGCATTCACTTTAGAACTTGTCCTTTGAAGATTTCTTAAATACAGCACAGAAAAGCTTGATAAATTTGTCTCTGTGAAAATTAAGAACTTAGGTTCAGCAAAAGGCAGCAACAGCAAAACGAAAAAACAGAGTTTTTAAATGCATATACCACTCAGGATTAGTGTCTAGAATATACAATGAAATCTTATATATCAATAAAAAATAAATAATCCAATTTAAAGAAAATAGGAACAAGATACATCGAGGCAATCCACAGACCAGGAAACATGACCTTCACACACAAAAAATGAGAAGATGCTCAACTACACTACTCATTAGGGAAATAAATGCCAAAACCTTAGTAAATACCATTTCACACCCAATTAAGAAGTTGGACAATATCAAGTAGGGATGATAATATGAAGTAATGGAAACTCAGACTCCTGGCTGGAGTATAAAGGCTTATGACCACATTGGAGAGCAATTTAGCAATATTTAGTCAAGTTAAAAAAGCCCTTACTTCATAACCCAACAGTTTCATTGCTAGGTAAGTCCAGAGCAACTTTTATATCCAGATGCACAAGAAGATATGTACAAAAATGTTCACTGGAGCAATGTTTGAAATGACGAAAACTGGAAACAACTTATTGTTCACCAAGAAGAAAAAGGTAAATTACATATTCATATAGTGAAAAACTGTGGCAGTGTATATGAATGAACTTGAAGTATATATGTGTGTGTATATATATACATAGACATACATATATTACTATTTATATATCTCAGCTTTGGATGAATCTCATAATTTAATGTTGAATTAATAAAAGCAAATTATAGAAAACTATATAGTATATCATTTATATAAAGTTTAAAAACATGGGAAACAAAGCTTTGTTTAAGGGCACATGTACACGTAGTGAGAATATAAAGCAATGCTTGGCACTGATAAGCATCATTTTTAACAGAGTAGTTATTTTGGTGGGAGTAGGAAGGGGGATTAAATCTATGAGGGATTCACACAGGGGGCTGCAATAGTGTTGGTCTAGAGCTTCATTTCTTAAGTTGAGTGATACATGCAAAGGTATTTATTATATTTTCTTTATACTCTTTTGAATATACGAAATATCAATCGAATGAAATTAAAACAAAATAACTTTTCCCTTTGAGATCACATAAATCAGTCAGGTTACCCTCTTCCAACTCTTATCATCATCATATATTGATGAACTCTCACCATACCCAGTCTACAATTTTCCTCTCCATCCTTCCTACCATCACCTGTGTGGTTTCAGGAGTCCTGTTGCTCCAACATCAAATGACCCTACCGTTCCTGGTGCTCCAGCAACCTTGAACGTGACTTACTCTAGTAACTCACAGGCTGCATTTTGGATCTTGTCACTCAGAGCATCTCTGTCTGATACCCCCCAATTCCTGATTCTCTCCTCTTCTTCTACTCCTTCCATGCTCTTGCCCAGCTAATCTTCACTTTGACCTTCTGGTGGGCTCTATTTCCTTGACCCACTTTATTCCTCTAATTCTCTCCTGAGCTATTTTCTTTCTTAACCAGCCTGAACGTATAGCCAACATCTTAGAGCTCTAGTCACACCCATCTTGCCTAACTCCATCTATTTTCTCTAATCCTGGGCCCGGGATGCTGAGTAACACTAACAGAAACCACGTAACAGTCCTGATGTGCATCATTTCAAATGTGTTTTCTCCAGAGCAGCTGGGCTCTAGGCTCTGACACCAATCCTGGTCCTTGATACCACTGGGCGATGGCTCCCCTTGGCCTAAAATGGTGAGCTAACTGTGTCCTGCAGAGCCATGGTTGCAGGGCGGTACCCTGGGAGAAGCTGAGGAGGAGAAGTCTTCTCAGGCAGGCTCAGGGTCCCCGTCCCCATTTCAATCAGAGAAGGCCTGCTTTAATCATGCTAAATATTTGTCTTCCAAACAAGATTTCATTTAATTAAAAAAGAAGAGGAAGGAAGGTCCTGCTCTTTAAACCTTTTGGTGGCTTTCCATTGCACTGCATGTAGAATACAAACCCCTCCGCATGGAGTCTGTGGGACATGGCTCTGTCTCCTCTCTGACCTCATCCAGTACTAACCATCCTTGGTTTCCCACATTACAGTCCCAATGCCCTTCTGCTCCCACCTCTAGGCCATGTGCTATTCCACCTGCCAAAATACCTGTTCCTTTGCCCTGTGCCTGACTCTTCATTTTCAAATTCCTCCTTAAATGTCACCTCCCCCGGTCTTCCTCATTATTCTCCATCACACTACCTTACTCGTCTCCTTCACAGCGCTTCTTGCCATCTTCATTCAATTCTTCGTTCACTTCCTCATTTAGCGTCTAGACGGTAACTCCCTTGCAGGGAGGCATCATGTTTGTTGTGTTTAACATTTAGGAGCAGGGTCAACGGGTGCCTTCTGCCTCTCTTCAAATCCTCAGAGCAGGACCTTCATGCCAAACCAATCCAAATAAATAAGTCATTAAAGGAGAAGCAGCACCCTGGCTGTGCACATGTGGCTTTGTGGGAAGTGTCCCGGCCCTCCCCTCCCCAGCCAGATGCCGCCCCTGGACCTTTGCCACAGAGAAATCTGGGAGCGGCACTGGGATCAACGCATCCCTGGTGAATCCTATTCACATGCGTTGAAGCACTCAGGAAATATTTTGTGAATGAATCAATAAATCTTGGAAAGTTTGAAAAGCACCAACCTAGGAAATAAAGTTCAGGTCCCCTAGATCAATATGGTCAAGAAAAGCAGTTGCAGGTCAGCGCTCCCTCTCCTCTTCATCAGCCATCACCTATTCATCCATTCCAGGACCAAGGACAACGAAACAAAACAAACAACCCTGACTTCCAATATGTGTGCCTCCTTGAATCTTCGGAGAGGATAACTCGGGATACTGGCAGAGGTAAGTGTTGAAAGAGTTAACTGATTTGGGAATAAATTGGTTAATTACCTAAGTGTTTCAGGACACACTTCAAGCATCCTCAGAATCTTAAAATAAGGGGCAAGTCTTCCAAAAGGTCAGAAAGGCTGTCGTTATGGCAGTATGCAACAGCCCTACAGGGCACAGCAGTCATTCCTTCAAATACGTGAGGCAGATCAGATACGATCGGTGGTTAAGAAAGCCAAACCCCAAATAGAAAAGTCTCGATTACACCCCTGTGTGTACATGGGTTGTCATGCCGCACCTTTGCTTGGCAAGCACGTTCCAGTACATTCTCTCTTGAGGCGGCCTGTTATGATTGTCTGCAAGGCTTAGAAGGAAACATGGTGAGATAGCAAACATGTGGTTTGTGTGGGTGTGTTTGTCTTTCTGTGCAAACAGGATTCAGTCCCTTAGAAGAAATAACACAAACAGGAGTTGGCTTCAGGCAAAAACACGGTCGTACTGGTGGGGGTAAGAGAAGCAAGTGGTGAAGGTGGGGGCGCAGGGGCCTCGGGGGTGTGAGTTGGGCATCTGGTCAGCACAGGGATTGAAACTGAAATGGAGGTGGAGTGGAGGCTCTTAAAGTAGGGCAGGTGATGCCGGTGATCGTGTAGTTACCTTATCTTAAATTTAGCTCTCATGAACCAGGTCCTGTGCCCTTTACTTAGGTTGCTTCTTTAATCCTTTCAGAAAAACTGTGAAATAGGTACTCTTATGATTTCCATTTTACATGTGAAGATACTGAGGCTCTGAGAGGTTAAGTAATTTGCATAAGGTCACACAGTGCTGGAGCTAGGATTTTAATTGAGGATTGTTTACCTCTGAAGTTTGGGCTCATAACCGTTGTTTCACGCTCTGCCTCTAGTTGGCAGGATAGTCTGGAGCCTAAGGAAGAGGTTAAGCTTAGGGCTGTAATTACAGGGGCAAATTTCTCAGAACATAACAAAGACAGCTAGGAAAGAGTCAATCTCGGGCAGCTTCACTAAGATGTATTGTAAAGAGACCTGAGGAGTGCTGAGACTTTGTATGGGAGAAAGTGTGTTCTGTTGTTCCTTAACTTGGGGATAGAATAAAAGAAAAAAAATGTAAATCTATGGCCGAGGTGAAGGAAAGAAGGGGAAAAAATATAGGAAAACACAAAAAACAACAAGCACTAAAATTTCCTGACCAGTTTACCAAATGCTTAGAATGGCCGATGCTGGGTTTTGTTTTAAGACTTGCTTCTTACATGGGCAAGTCCATGTCCAGGGTGAGATCCATAAGGGATGTATATATTTACTGACTGTTAATGATATTCCAGAGCAGAAAGAAGGAGGTCAGCTGGTTCTCCACAAAAGAGGAGTCAGCAAACATTAACATACTGTACAATTCATGCCTCACTATTGTCCGATGCATTATAACCAATGCCCTTTCTACCTCTTAGAGCTTTGCTACTCATTGTGATCCATGGACCATCTGCATCACCTGGGAGCATCACCCTGGATTCATTGAAACAGAACTTGCCATTTAAAAGGATTCTGAAGTGATTCATGTATGCTGTAACACCTGAGAGGTACTGTCCTAGAATTTGTACTGTGCCATTTTGGTAACTTGGTGAACTCCTATTCATCCTTCAAAATCCAACTCAGATATCACCTCTTTGTTAAAGCCTCTTTTAGCAATGCATGACAGAGTTAATCACTCCTTCTCTGCTGTTTCTCTGGATCTCCTAGTTATCTATATCCTGTGCTCATCACACTGTGTTCTTTACAAGTCCTTGAGGAGATATATCCTTTTGTATTCTCTTCTTTGTATTCTAGTGTTAGTCAACTACGTCACTCCAACAAGGTAGGTTCTAAAAACTATTCAATTAAGTTACTGTTTTTCAATTTAAGTCCCTCTTGGACAATAGTTTTTAAATTTTCCTGTGCATAAAAATCACCTGGTAAGCTTATTAAACTGGAGGACTATGGACCCCACCCCCATGGATTCTCATTCTGCATGTTTAGTTGGGCCACAGGAATTTGCATTTTTAATTAGCAGCCCTAAGAATTTCCAATGGTCAATATAAAACTCTGGTTCAGAAACATTTCTAAACTGGAGTCAGGGGCGTTGAGCTTCTGGCCTAGTGGGCTGCTACTGTCCTGCTTATTGGATTGGTCTCTGCATCCTCCAGATACCAAGAGTGAGCCAATCCATCAGTGAGGGAGCTACCCCAGTATGTTTGGACTATGTTTCAGTAAGGATGTCTTTATGGAGAAATGAAAATGTGCTCAATTTCAGCCCATAAGAGTGTGAATTATTCGACACTGTTGGTGACCTCTGCTGTTCTAAAGCTCTCCCTCCCGACATTGACCCGCAGGCTCTTAGGACCCATTCTACTATTCTCCAAACACATGAATATTTTCCACATATGCAGCTCTGATTGTGCGAGTGCTGCTCTGTGCCAGGCAACCTAGGATATTTTATTTAGTTCACACAACAACCCTAGGAGGTAAGGGACGCTATTCCCCTTTTAACGATAAGGACACTGAGCCTCAGGGATATTTCGTAACTTAGTTGGAGCCGTACAGTTAGGAAGAGGCTGAGCCAGGGATCCAACTCTGATTTGTCTGATTCCAAAGCTGTTGCCTCCTTCTTGTTTGTCAAGCTGTCTCTCCGTTTCTTCAGCTATACTTTCCACACAAGATCCCCAGGGCTGGGCCCAGCTGGGGCTGGTTAGAGCCTTCCACGATGTCCGTTCACAGCTCTCCTGTTCCACGCTGCGTCCGTAGCCATTTTTCTCTAGCTGTAGAGAGTATCTGAGCTAACAGAATGTCTGGAAACACAAAGAAGTGACTTCTTTCCCTTCCTAAGAGAACTTTTAACTCATTTGCGTTTTCCCGTAGCTGGTGCTCGGAGTCCACGCATGCCTTCATGGCTGGGCTAACAGACACGCGGACACATATTTTTGAGTTGTTGTAACAACTGAATCAAATCATAGCAGAGTGGAGACAATCCATTTTTGCAGTTGATTGGAAACACAATTAAGAAATTGGATTGGCGGGGCCATAGCTAATTAACTATCCAAAATTCTCAGAGGACAAAGCAAAATAGTTTTTTCTTGGGGGGGGGTGTATTATTTTTGAGGGGTAGGAGGAAAGAAAGGGTTAAATAAATTAAGGTATATACATAAAATAAAATACTGTGTTGCTGAATCTTTTCAATGTCTACTACATACACGGCACAAAGATGAGCAGTAGGCACGATTCCTGCCCTCATAGAATTTTTTGTATATCAGATGAAGCAGAACAATGTAGATCTATATATACTATCAAAGAATTTTGCAACGTAATTTGCAGAAGAGTATATACAAAGAGAAAAAGGTAAAAAACGTCTATATGTTTGTATCCAAGTGCATTTGCCAGGTGGTTATACACAGGGTTATTTCTGTCAGTTATCTTCAAGGACTAGGAATGAGTTTGGGTTAATGATGGGGGAATGGATGGGAATGGTGGGCTTTATACATTTTTGTGGTAAGGACTGCCAACTACCTGCCTTCAGATCCCTTCTTCAGTCAAAAAACAAAACAGAACCGTTCTCACACTCCTTGTGGCTGAGCATAGCCATCTAAGTAAGTTCTGGGCAGGCTGTAAGTTAGAGGTGTTGTGGAGGGCAGTTAGGAAGGCTCCTTAGTAAGAAAAGGACTAGCCCTTTTACCCTTGTTCCTTTCTGCTGGAATGTGGATTCGTGTTGTGGCTCCAGCAGCCATCTTGGACCATGAGGAGATCTTGAGGTTGGAAGCCACAGACAGAGAACAGTAGGATGAAAGAGCATGAGTCGTCTCCATACCAGCCCACTACTGTGCTGCTGTCTCCTATGGGGACCACAAGCCACATGTGGATATTTTAATTTAAGTTACATAATTTAGTTCCTCAGCTCCACGAGCTACATTTCATGTACTCAGTAACTACCTGTGATGGCTAATAGCTGCCGAATTGGACAACACAGATAATAGAACGTTTCCATCCTTGCAGAAAGCTCTGTTGGATAGTGCTGTTCCTCTCCTTGCTTCCAGACTCTACAAAAGAGAATAAGTCCCCAAATATTTGTCTTTGTTACCTGCGGCTGAATCAAACACATACTATACAAAGTCTTTTTTTTACAAGAGCATATGTCAATTTTATGACATAAGATGAATACAGTTTTAAATACACAACTGAACATCCAATGTGGATTAAAACAGATAAAGATATACTATAAAAAATCTGGCATGATTGTTTTAAAAAATAGAGGAATATTGTATCAAAAAATAGATTTTTTAAAACCCTAGGTATATAAAAGATCTGGAAAATTATAAGCCTTTAGATTTGTTTCCTTGTTCAGAAGCAAGACCGGGCACCCAAAGTTTATACAACCTTCACTTCGAATTGACATAGACCACACACCAGGTAAGCACATACATTTCTATAGAGTTATTTTCTACACATTCAGCTACAGAGCATATTAAGAATGCTCTGAGAGATACAGCTAACATTCACGGGAGACACTTTTATAAGGATAAGCTATGGTCTGGTGCTCTTTAGCTATCCATCAAACTCTCTGCTGTTTGCATTTTGAAAATATACAATGACATTACATTTTAAATACACTGGGCTACATTGTGCTCTCTTTGAACCTGCAGCAAAATTATGATGCCATTGTGTATTTTTAAAGATTAAATATTTCTCATATTTTTGCGCTGCAGCAAGCAAACCAAAGGCTTTTAGCATTCCAGGTCATGTAGACGATTTCAACAAGGTTGTTTATTCTCCGTTCAACGTGTGCGGGATTCAGGGGAATCATTTCCATTCTTATAAGAAGGTGCCCCCCAGGTAATCTTTGGCAGATGAATCTCAATGCATACTCTGATCTGTCTGGAAAATGCAGCGTGTAAAACCCATCGCAGGGCTGAGGTGAGCAAGGACAGATAAACTAAGACTCTGTCGTGGAGGCTTATAATAAAGCAGAAAAACTTTAAACTTTCTTTCAACAGGGCAGCAAATGTAGTAAGCTGCAAGTCCCCCATAGGGTACTTTGCCAGCACAAATCAAGGATGTGTGTCATTTTTTTCCCTTTCCCTTTGTGTGTGTGTGTGTGTGTGTGTATTTTATCCTTCAAGTCATGATGGTTTGATATATATGCCGTTTCTGCACATTTTTATTTTCTAATTCTGCCGAGAGTCTTAGAGGCTTGTTGAGATGAGAGTCAAAAGCTGGACAAGCGTGTTCTTGGTCAGCGACCAGTGCTCTTACGAAATTCCTTTTTCATCACACTGGGAGAGGAAGTGGTTTCCACCTCAGGCTTTATATGACCACCGCCTCCTTTTTACCTTTGCCTGAAAAACGAAGAGTAAAGATGATTGAAGAGGACATTTTGGGGAGAGGGCTCCAGATCCTGCTCCTAACATTGACCTAACATTTCAGAGTGTTGTCTATCTCCTTCTGTCTCGATCAGCAGGGGAAATTTTTAGTGCAAATTTTAGGATCTTGGGCTACTGTCCATTCAACACAACATTGGCTAAATTTCAATTCTCCTTTTGCTATTTACCAGCATTAGCATGACTGAGGACCCGAGTGGGTGAGCAGGCAAACCCGGAAGCCCCCTGGGAAGCAATGAGAAGGAGAAAGCCTGAGAAACTCGCAGGCTGAATTTTGATTTTTGTGGATCTCTGCTACAAAACCTCTTAACGTCCTTCTACGCCACTCCCTCTTCTTCTGACCTCCACGACCCCTTCACCTTAGCTGGTCTGCAACTGTGCGAGTTTCTTTCCAACTACTTGTCCCCACCCCAAAGCTGGCAATTTGCTCCCTCCCTCTCTTCCACCTGCCTCTGCTACGTGACCTAGAGTGAGTCACCTGCCATCCTAAATCCTTGGTTCCTTCAGCTGGAGATGGTGCACCTGTTTTAGAAGGTCTCTGATGGTGCTTCTATTCTGAGGTTGTAAGATTCAGGTCATGCCTGCTCAAGAAAAACACATGTGACTTGGTTAAAAATGAGCATCTGGGCATGGGTTACTCTTTCTACTTGAAAGTATTTTTTAATGGCAAGAGTAACATATGAGCATTTTTTCCTACACAAAATGAAAACATCAGAGATAAGATTCAAATTGTTCTTTCCTGCAACCCCAGCTCATACCACCTCAAATGTTGAGATCAAAGAAATACAAAAAAAACCTCAAACGTTACCCACTTCACTACTTTAGGAGTTTGATTTGTACTTTTTCTGAGAATTTTCTGTTTTTATACACATTATGTATATCCAAAGAAACTGTATAACATTGTTTTGTGAGTTTTATTTTTAAAAATAAAGATGCTATTTCTACACATTCCAATTTTCCAGTTCCACTGAATGTCTGACAGGCTCATCAAAATGAGAGTTGAAAGCTGGACAAGTGTGTTCTTTGTAGGCAATTGGTATACTGTTGTGAATATAAAAATAAAAATATAAATAGTATACTCTGCTTATTGTTTTGCATTTCCTTTTTGTTTCCCTAAATATCAGTTAATATTAACTATTACTGCAGAAGAACATAGATCATCCTTTTTAACAGCTGCATAGTATTCCATATAATAATAATAATAATAATAGCTATGATTTGCAGGTTGCTAACTATTCGCCAAGAACTGTTTTCACTTAATCCTCATGAACTCCATGAAATAGGAAGCCAATATTGGTTTCATTCTACAAATGAGAAATCTCAGAAGCAATATAAAAATATGATGCATTATTTCATCTACTGCTCGATATTTAGGATGTTTCTAATTGCTTGCTATGACAAACATGCTACCAAACCTCCTTGCCCAGGTGCAGGCAGGATGAGTCAGAAGGGGAAGAGCCGAGGGGTAAGATACATGCCTTTTTAGGTTTAAGAGAGCCTTCCAAACTGCCCTTGATGATCTTATCAAAAGAGGCTGTGAACACTGAGAAGGAGGAGGATGGGATGTGAAACGGGGAGTGGGCTGGCAGGATGGTAAAAGGGGGATGGGTGAAGGAACACCTCAAACTCCAGCTTCATGCACTTTTCAGTTGTGCATAAGGACCATCCTGGGCAAAAGGAGGAATTTTCCACTATTTCTCCTAAGTCTCCTAAACTCCAAGGCATCTTTTCACTTCTGCTCTGTCTCCCCAGCTCCTAGGACCTTCCCTCCCCCGGCAGTGCATCTGGGCGCCAGCTGTGCCAGTTTTGTTAGGCTTAGGAAAGAAGTCAAGCCCTTCAGTATTTACTTTATCCTGAGAACATTAAGGAAGGTAGACAGGCCTCCGTCCCTATGCACCATTTAAACAGATGTCAGACCGTGGATGTGGGCTCATTTTTCATTCTTTAATCCGCAGGTATGAATTAAACCATAACCTGCTTCCCCGACACCACGGCATCAATATTTTCTCAGACTGGAACATGGTCTCCCTGTTCTTATCCACCATTTAAAAATAAACTTAACATATGGCGTGTGTCTTATGGCAAAGGAATGCAATGTGTTTTTCCTGACATATGACTCAATTCAAACACTAGGCAAAACTTTGATATATCAGAGGAGTTTGCAGTTGGAGAGAATATGCTTGCTACCTTCTCTGTTAAACGGGTTAATTCCTTGACGCAAATTTCCTGGACCTGAGACGTCCCAAGTTTCTCAGATAACTGAGCTCCTTAAATCACAAATGTGTCATACAGACCCTAGGGTCAAGCTAAATACTGAACGAGGCGTCTTAAAATAGTCAAACTAATAGGTAAAATGCATCGAGTTGGGAGCATCCGTGATGATAGTTACACAGTTTTCTCAAAGACCCTGCAATGCTCCACCAATCATTCAACACACCCCAAAGTCACCGCGCAAACGGAGGCAAAGGAAAGAGGACCTCGGACACAGTAAAAGCTTGCAAATGCAAGCAGAACAATAATTAAAAAAAATAGTAACTACCACTTACGGGGTGTTTATAATATTCCAGGCACAATGCTTAGAGCTTTGCCTACATGATCGTATTCAATCCTCACAACAGTCCTCTGAGGTTAGTATTGTTATTATCTCTATTTTACATACGAGGAAATTGGGATTTAGAAGGCATGGTATTTTGCCCAAATTTATACATCTATTAAATGATAGAACTGAGATCCAAATCTACTTCTGTCTGATTCCAGAGCCTGGCCCCACTTTGCTAATACACAACGAAGGCTTATTATTGTACGACGTCAGAGATAGGCGTTTTTAAACCCCATCTCCCAAAATATAACTACAATACTGTGAATTTGACCTCTAAGCAACTTCTCAGCTTTCTAACTTGTTCAGGTCTTCCTGTTCTTCCCTGGGGCGCTCGGGTGGCCTCCTGGCTGCTCACTCTGTACCCTAATTCATCCTCCAAGGCTACCGGGAGAGTGATCCTTCAGGGGGAAACATATCGTGCACTCACTTGCTCAAAAATCTCCAGTGGTCCTTGCATGTAGCTCCTGCAACGGCCTGGACAGTGCCTTCAGGACAGTGAGTGCTCAATGGTACCTCTGAGTGACGAGACATTTTCCAACTATCTCTTTTCTTTTCCTGACACCGTTTCTGAAATTAGGTAACCGAGGTCACAACTATAGATCAGGCAATGTTCAATACTGGAAAGTGCTGTCTTTATTTAGAGTCTGAAAGATTTAAGCTCTATCCTTTTTTTCCTGAGGAAAATTTGCCCTGAGCTAACATCTGTTGCCAATCTTCCTCTTTTTGCCTGAGGAAGACTGTTGCTGAACTAACATCTGTGCTGATCTTCCCCTCCTTTATGTGGGACACCACCACAGCATGGCTTGACAACCAGTGCTAGGTCTGCACCCAGGATCCGAACCTGCAAACCCCAGGCCAGCCCAAGCTCTATCTTTGTTAGCTCCGTGACCTTGGGAAAGTCACCTTACCCATGATTCTTTTTCCTCATGTGTCCCTCTAACCTGGTCAGTGTAAAGTTAGAGGTGGTGTATGCCTGAGGTACATAGGATCCTAATATCATTATTAACAAACATTGTGAAAACATTTCATCAGTCATTCACACCTTAGTAAATCAACAGATCTGGACCATCTCCCCTGTGACAGTGAGATGGGAGCAGAGTATTTAGGGAAGAAAAATTTTTGTGGGCAGGAAGGAGGAGGAAGACTTCTTGGAACATGGAGCCCTGCCTGGTAGAGGACTGGTGGTGACAAGCTGCCCCTGTGGTGGTCCTGGCATCTTGGGAGTGTCTGTGGGAGGACAGAAGATTCTAGAAGAGGACATAAGGATGATTAACAAGAAAATAGAGAGGGCCATAGACACCCTTTATTGCTTTACCGTTTTGCTTAGGGCCAGCTTGGGATCCAGGCTGAGCTGTTGTGGGCCCAGGAGAAGGAGAAACACAATGAGGGTGATACAGCTATCTTGGCCTCTGGTGTAAGCCGCCCTTGCCTAAGACAATTTGATCCTGAAGACTTTGGGGAAATTTTCAGGTACCTATTTCTGAGAAACAGACCACCCTCAAACGGTGATGATTTATTATTTCCCCCAATTTGGTGGATTAGCAATCTAGGTGGTTGTTCTGCTGGTCTTGCCTGGGATCACTCACGTAGCTGCAGACATCTGACAGCTTGACTGGGCCTGGAAGGTCCAAATGACTTCATGTACATGTCTGGCAGCTGATGCCAGCTGTTGATGGGCAGGGTGCCCCAGCTCTCCACTACATGCCTCCCGTCCTCCAATAGGCCAGATGGGGCTTCTTCATAGCGTGGAGGTTTCAGGGCTCTAAAAGCTTAACGGCTGAAACCACAAGGCCTCTTACGGCCCAGGTTTCAGAACTTGTGCAATATCACTTCCGCCATATTTTATTGGTCAAAAGAACTCACCAGGCCAGAACTGATTGTTGAGGGTGGAGCAATTGATCCCGCCTTTTGTCGGGAGGAATGGCAATATCACGTTGCAGAGGTGCGTGGACAGGGAGGCATGATTCACTTAGGGCCATTATTGTAACAATCTAAGACAGGGGGTATTCTTTCCCTGGTCACTATTTCCAGAAATGTCTGCCCCTATCAGCCTAGGAGTTTTACCTACAAATTATAGGGTTATTTGGTTTTCTGAAGTCAACAGGATAGTTAATGGCCTTTGGTCAGTTACTGACCAAATAAGAGGCAAAATCAAGCCAGAAACTTGCTCCTAGAGCTTTCTGGGTCTTTGAATTGGCTTCTCCTACAGTCCTGCTCCTTATCCTCACTGAAAAGCGTGCAGTGCTAAAAAGCACTCTGGCAGTGTATGGTGTTGACCTAAGGCTTAAATAAGGAAAAAGCACAATTATTTTGACACTTTAGGATGCTTTTTATCATCTTTAGGAAGGGAATCTACTTCCAAGAACTCTTCTATAGCTATAATATAAACTCCATGGGCCCGGTCTTAGAGCAGTATCACGTTTAATGGTAGCAAAAAATATAAGTCCTTCTAATCTTAACTTGCATTTCTTGAGCAACATTAAAGAGGATTCAATTCCTAACCCAAAGCACCATTTCCTCTCAGTTGCTAACTCTCTCACACCTTGAAGCTGCCCCACCATCTCTTTCTGCCTAACTCTCTCTCTCCATTTCTCCTCAGACTCTCTGTGACAGTCCCAAATGGTAGGCCCCACTCTTCTCTTCCCTCACTCTTTCGTTTTCCACATGAGTCTTTTCCTTGCAGAAGTGGGCCTCGGCTCCCTCTGAAACAAATTCCCGTTCTGAGTCTTCCCATTGATTAACTTATGGTTTCTTCACCTTGGTACAAATGACATTTGGGGCCATAGAACTCTTTGTTGTGGGGGCTGTCCTGTGCATTGTAGGATCTTTAGCAGCATCCCTTGCCTCCACTCGCTAGATGTCAGCAGAACTGCCTCCCAGTTTGGGCAACCAAAAATGTCTTCAGACACTGCCAGACGTCCCCTGGGTGGCAAAAGCAGCCCTGGTTGAGAACCACTAGATCATCCCAATCCATATATTAAAGGCCCTAGGAGATTGAGGAGGAATGGCAGAATGTTCTGGGCAGTGGCCAATGCCAGTTTTCTGCAGTGGGAGGGAAAGGAAATCAACTGAAAATATATTTACATGTAATATTTTGTGTCTCTATTACAGTACCCTGATCCAGCAGCATGGTCAGGAAAGAAAAATGTTTAAGTATGAGTTCAATTATGTGCTCTGAGCTCCAGCCTGAGATGAGCAGGAGAAGCTAATAGGAGGTGACCACCTGGTATGCTAGAACAATCCGGGACTCTTGGGTTCAGGTCTGAGACCTGCCACTTGTTATCAGATTCAGCAGGTCTGGGCTGGGCCTTGGGCATGAGTATTGAAAAGATTCTTTAGGTGTTTCTGA